TGAGAAAAAGTTATCAATAAAAATATTAAAACCTAAGTTTTATGCCCAGAATAAAAAATATTTGCTAATATTTTTTATAAAGTTAAAATACATGTTGAAAAATGACTTCATATGTTGACCAAAATACCATGTAAAGAAAAAATTTCTCTCAAAACTTTTAGATCTTATTTATTGATATAGCGACTCTAATACTTTTTTATTATACAAGGAATATATATAGTATACCGGATGGCAGCCAATCAGGTCAAACACGAAACTTGGCCGATCTAACCGGCCATACATACATGATCGATCTGGTCGGCTCGGTTAAATTATGGTCAGTCGGGTCGGCCAACAGGTTCCGCGTATACGAGTGTATGGAGTTAAGTCAGGTTAATTAAGGAGAGATTAATTTATTTAATACACCGGTTTAACCCCTAATTTTTCGGGGCCTAGTCCCTAATTATGGCCCAACAACAACCACTATAAATAGACTCTCAACGAGGTACATAACTACCTTGAACTACTTCATTTAATATGCTGATCCCTTACTTGAGCGTCAGAGTGTCTTTTGCAGGCACCTCCCCCTCCTCGGACTACCTAGAACGGAACGAGAAGACTTAGACCAAGGACCAAGATCACGACGACTCGAATAATCAAGGTATGTCTCCTAATACAAGAACATATAAAATATAAAAGTATAGATTTACAAAGAATAATTAATTTGTTAAATTAATCTGGCATCGCTGTAATTTATATAATTTTTAATTGAGTTGTTATAGTTAAAAACATTTTAAAATAGTCCTTATAATTTAAAAAGTTTATAATTAAATTTTAACACACATTAAAGCTTTTAAAACTATTAATTTGAGTTTGATTTAATTGCTCTTTTAGTCTTTAGACATTTATATGTAATTGTGTGATTTTGTTTTTCAAAATTTTATCTTAATTACAACAACTCTTTCTGAAAGAAATTAATAAAGTGTTGAAGGTGAAAATGGGGATCGAAACCCCTACCTTGAAGCCCACCAACAATACTTTAATCACCTGGCTTGATTATGATTTTATTTGCAATTGATATTTAAATAAAAATTAAATATATGCAACTTAAAAGTTATAACTTTTTTTTTTCAAAAAAAGAAGAACTAGAAGGTAATATGATTATTCTCATCATGTCCACACATTTTGAAGAGTAAAAACTGTTTGTACTAATTAATGACTTTTATTTTTGAAATAGTATGCTAGAATTAAACACACAAAAAAATAATGTGAACATTATAGAAATTAATAATATTAGCATTAATATCAATAAATACATACTAGTAGTATTCAAATTAACATCAATAATATAAATTAATAATTTATACTAAGATCCAAAATTATTACACATATATTTGTTAATAGTAAATAAATAAAATAATATTATAAAACAAAAAAAACAATACCTTATACCTTTTAATATTAAGTATATGTCTTAATTATAATTTAAACACTCTATGTTAAATAATTATCTATGTTATAAAGTTATATTGTCATAGTTTTTTCTTTGTATATTTTAGTGACCAAAATAATTCTTTTTATTAATATAAATTTTTATATATATTTCACTAAAAAATATTTATGTCATATATTTGCAATCAATTTTTAATATATTTATATCATATATAACATATAGTATTTCTATTAATATTTATTAATGAAGAGAGTGAGAGGATTTAGACCCCATGCAATCCATTCCTTATGATATA